GTTTATTTGAATTTGGATCAAGCACCTACAAATACACGAGACGAGATGACAAAGTTGGATTAGTTACTTTTTTTTTAATAATGCAGAAATGAAAACACTTATGGGATCCAACAAATTATTAAATTAAGCTGCTCATAGTGTGTCCAGTTTGTTGTAAGTTTTTATAAATTATTGTGCCACATCATCTTATTATAATGTCTGTAAATCCTCAGAAGCCTTTTTATTTGGTATTTCCTCTTTCACTTAATTTCATTTTTATTATTTATTTATTTTTGCTTTGACCTGCTCTCCCATGTTGGGCTCCAACTTTTTTTATTTCCTACAAGCTCCTCTGCTGCCATCTGCTGTGAGCAGGTCGACTCATCGCTGAGGTCAGCGAGCAGCCTACAAGTATTCATCTTGAACTTCAGTAACCCATAGTTAGTCACTATTTTACCTGCAATGAGAAAATAAAGTAAGGAGTATTTAAACCAGGATGGCATGAATGAATTACATAGAGACTTGTAGCTGCAGATCTTGTTTTCCTCACACAGGAGGTAAACAGGAAGTAAACAAACCGTACTCCGATGACCTCACATTGCAGAGGCATTTGAATTGTGAATGTATTTTTTGAGATGAGTATTGTTCTGCACAGGAATTGAGCATGCAAGTAAATCATAATGATTTTGGTGCAAAATATTCAAATGTATAGGAATTGCACTGTTGTCGGTTTTTATTTATACTTTATTTGTCATGCTTGTCCAAGGCAGCACAGAGTGATGGTTCCTGATGAGCAGGGAGCAATTTTCACCACCAGGTGCAATGGCGGCACCATGGGGTGCCCAAGATCAATCTTTGGCCTCCCCATTCATTAAAGGAAACTATACTGTTACGCAATATAAAAACTAGAAATGATAGTTTCCTCAAATGATAGATGTGGCCAGTTTACGTATGGGGCCATGTTGGATCTTAATTTAGCAACTGAATTTTCAATGGTCATTATTCCATTCACCAAAATGTAAGTTGGTGCACTGCTTCCTTTTCAAGATATCTGCTCACAACGTTACCATTTATTCACATATAGTGGCAGCCATCTTGAATTTTGATGTGGCAAAAGGGAACTTTCTTCCGTCAAGATGCAGCCACATAAAAATGGATGTCACTTATGTTTCCAGTTATCATGCTCACAACATGCACAGATGGACAAACCGGGGATATTTCCAAATCCTCCTTTTTGCTCCACGATAAAGGACAAAATGAAATTTGGAGGTAAATATTTACTGAACTCTTCAGATGTCCTTTTTATTTATTTGCTTGCTTGTGTAAAATAAAACTAGCATTTTATTATAAGCAGTAAAACTCGAGAAAGCAAGACAAAATAACCAAGAACGTACTATTTTTGTTTTGTTTTTAAACAAAATTAATCAATGGAGAGGATTTTTATTTTATTTGTTTAATGTGTGGAGGACGTGGTTGTATTCATCAACGTGACAGTTTACATGATAAACAAAAACATAAATGTGATTAAAAGTACAGTCATTTATGAGTAAATGTTGTTTTTGTTGTCTTTTTTTTTGTATGAGTTGGATTTCATCTGTTGGAGACAAACCCAATCAGTAATAAGTGTGAACACAACTATGGCTTCTTTTTTTAATGTTTCTTTCTTGTTGTTATTCGTGCAAAACATTTTCAACGTATGATAGAAAACAAGTAATTAGACATCTTGTTATAAACTGAACTGTTTGCCCAGTGGTCTAGTTTGTAATGTCACATAATATATATATATATATATTTTTTTTTTCATTTTAATTTTCATTAACATTTTCAATAGTAAATAACTTTTCAAAGATACATAACATACATTTTCCAGATTATGATAACCTAAGCAGGCCTCACTTTACAGTAATAAATCAAAAAACAACAAAAAAAGGGCAAACATTCCAAAAATATATATTTATATACAGTATATACATATATAATAACAATACAATAAAAATGTAAATAAAAATAAATCTAGGTTGCAGGTGTCTAGGGTCTAGAAATTCCTCTTGAGTTTCCTCAAGTCTCTTCTTGGCTGTCATACTGTGTCCACTTTTCCCACTTATTCATAAAAATATCTTCTTTTAGTCTAAGAATGAAAGTCATTCGCTCCATCTCATAAATGTCCCTAACAATATTCAGCCATTGTTGTATGGAGGGAGCAGATATCTGGTACCAGTTTCTTCTAACGTGTCCCAGTTTTAAATGTCGACAGACCTTCTGTGCAGGGAGCCGGACCCCCTCCTGTCAGGATCCATGTTGTTGTTTGTTTTTGTTTACCGTGTTGTCTTCACTTCTCCTCAGTCAGCCGCCACTCTCACCTGTTCCCAGTTTGCAATCGACTCAGGTGTCTCCACTTCCCCATCAGCCCAGTTCTGTATCGATTCTTCTTCAGTGCCACATTCTGGTCCTCCTTGTGCTCCTCTGTGATCAGATCCTGGAGCTTCCTGGGAGTTTGGCTGCCATGCCAGCATTTTGTTTTAGTTTAGAACAAAGCTAACAGACTGACCACAGCGTGTCACTTACAAACAGATGAGCTGCCTTGGTGGTGTTGATGTTTTATTCCATGCTTGTATAAATAAATGCATCTCCAATCTTGTGCCCGGTGCTGATGAGGGCACGTTGTTCAGATTTGATCCAGAAGATGGCGGCCTGAGGGCGACTTCATCTAACAAACACTGATGTGTTCTGATGATTTTCAAATTTAGCTTTCGCTCTTTAAAATAAGAGCAGAGGACCATTTTTGTTGCCGTACTGACAGGTCGGTGCTGAGTGCAGCTAAAAACAGAAACACGGCCCATTTTAAGACCAACAGTTAAGTTTTAAATGAGCAACAAAGTCCATGCAGATGTGAACCGTGATGGGATCAGCTGGAAGAAAATGGGATTTCAGTCCTCCCCCACCTCAGTGAGAGTATTTTGTTCACATCACAGCTCGGGCAGCCGTCCAACTAAACAATTAGCCTGCATGGGAATCCCAGCCCTGCTCTTAACCCCCTCTCTCTCCTCTTTTCTCCGTGCTCCTCTCTCCTTCTCTGCAGCTGGCCTCAGGAGAGAGGAGGCCCAGTTTATTTTCTCCACGGTGGTCCCTTTGGGGTGGCGGCGAGGGCCCTGCCTCGCTGCCACTGATGTATTAGGTGAGGGTCCCCCAAAGACCCGTCAGGGGACTCGTTTGTGACTGAAGCACTCCATCTTACTGTGAGGGCCCTCGGTGCTGCTCAGACCGAGCCGGGCGACAAGTCAGGACGAACAAAAGTATCATCCCATAATGATACATAAACACAACCTGTTAGTGTACAGGTATCCATGGCAACTGGAAAAAATAATATGCTGCAAGTTATTTTGATTAAATAAGAAAAAAAATGGTATCATTATGTTATAAATAGGAAATAATCATTTTTTTAAAACGTTTCATTTGTTCATCCATAAACAAGCCACACTATGTTCGTTAAAGTTAAAATAAATACAATTAAAGAAATTATTTTAATTTTTAAAAAGTGTTTTATGTTGACACATAAGAATTATTGACAATTTAAATAGAAAAAAAATGGAATAAAAAATAGAATAAAAATCTGTGATGAGTTCAGGGATTATCAGGTTTGAGGCTTTTTTTTAATAATAAACTTTCCAAAATATATGATTTTGCTAAATTATAAATACCTTTAATTCACTGTAAATGCGTTGTTTAGTCTGACTGAGTTGAGCCAGGAAATGGCTGCAAGATAAAATAAAATAAAAAATGAATAAATAAAAGGAGTCACTGCAGGTTTTGGGGCAAAATCATTGAACAAAAATCAACAAATCAAAGAGTTATCATTCTTGAAGGATTGGACTGTCTGGGATCCATGGCTGGTTTAAAACCATCAAATGAAAAGTATTTCCTGTTTTAATAAACTCAGAGCAGAGAAGGAGTGCAGGACGAGAAGTGAAGGGATTAGGGTTTGATTTGTAAAGTGCGTCTCCTCAGACACTTCTCCTGCGGTGCTCCTCTTTGAGGAGCAGCCAGGGAGAGGTCGTGTGTCAGACGGCATAAATAACTGTCGGCACAAAGTAAACACAGCGGTCACAACCCGGGCAAATTAAAACAACTGGACTGAGGCTCCCAGGCTGCAGGGTTTTATACCACTTTTAAGATTTGTGAAACATCCTCCAACCCTCACGTCTTATTGGCTGAACCCAGGTCAGACTGACCAATCAGCATGCAGCTTTGGGCCTAAAAATCAAATCACAAACCAAAAATAATAAATTTTACTGGTTTAAGATAACTGTAAATATATTTTTGTTCTTCAGACAGTAATTTACTATTTACTGTGGGCAAAATTTCTCAATTATAAAATATAACAACTGCTGGCTGGCTGTTCCCAGTATAAGTTGCAGTGATTTTAACAACATATGGTTAAAAAAAAAACATATTTATCAACCTGTTTAAAATCCAAGACCTCCATTTTGGGATTTTTATTAATCTTTGGAGGTAAACTGTGTTTGTGTGAAGAGGAAAGAAGGCCCACTGTTATCTCCCAGAAACAACAGAGAGGCTTATCTGCACCAACGCTCGGTCCGCGCTCAGGTTCTGCTCCTCAGATAAGCCGGGTCACCACAGGTCAAAAGACGGGGCCACACAAGAGAATAAAAAGGAAATAAAAAGTCAGAGCACAGGAGGTTAAAAGTGATACAAATATATATTTTTACATGCAAACTGTACAGACATTTGAGCTAAAAAAACAACAACAAAAGTGTCCATATCCAGCTGCAGAGTATTAAAAAAAGCAGTGGAAGATGATCTTTGAACCAGCAAAGACATGAACCAGGTGGAACAAAAATGTATTTAAATAAATTTATCTCTTTTTTTATTATTATTACAGGAACGAAAGAGAGAGAAGTCCCTCTGTTGTTCCCACTCAGCCTGCAGAGATGAGCCTTCAGTCAAAAATAAACATTTTTCGTTTTATCCTTTAAAAAAAAAAGAGTCTTTTTTAAAGTGTTTTTTTCTTTTTCATGCAGTTGTTCCGCACAACCGCGTTGCGTTCAGCATCTCCTTCAGGTCGGTCTCCGGCTTCCCCGCCACCATGAAAGGCCAAGTCTAAAGAGAAAAACACACTCAGTTAGAAAAATACAACACAATTATAGATTTAAATACCAGTCAGGATATTAAGAAAATACAAAAGTACAGTTTTGTCTAAGTAAAACATTTCCATGCTGTAGCAAACGTTCGCAGTAATTAGATGGTGTTGCGTTCAAGTGATCCCCAAAATATCAAACTTTTTATAATGGTTCTATTAAAAATGATAAATTCTGTAACTTATTTATTCTTCTTTATTTACTGTCATGATATAAACAGAGACCTGCTTTGGGCTCAACTCAATCCTGTTATCGCCACACGCACTTGAACGCATCACGCAAGTCTGAGCTCCAGTTTTCTTTCAAATAAAAAAATAAATAAAAATAAAAAAAGTTTTCCACTTTTCTACACTTTGACTCTGAGCAACAATAAAACCTTTAAACTGCTCTGAAACAAACAAAACCAGACGATTTTCTCTCGGCGCTCCAGATAATGAAATAAAAACCAACATCTGGCAACATCTGCCTCGGACCCAGCCGGCCTCACCAGGTTCACGGGGTGAATAAATCCAGTCTCGTATTTGTCGTTGGCCAGAATCTGCCGCAGGTGCGCGATGTAGCTGGAGGCGAGGCGCAGCGTGTCCAGCTTGGACAGCTTGGTGTCCGCCGGGACCCAGGGCAGCGACGTCTTGAGGCGCGAGAAGGCCTTAGACAGCACGCGCATCCGAGCTCGCTCCCGCGCGTTGGCCGCGTTCCTCTGCACCTGCTTGCCCTCCTGCTGCGCGCCACCTTTGGGTGCGCCCTTCCTGGCCGCCGCGCAGCTCCTGCGTTTCTTGGTGCGGGCCGCCGCGCCCTCCCTCCTCCTCCTCCTCCTCCTGTCCTCCGTGGCGCACGCGCCCTCGCAGTTGGAGCTCTCCTCCGCGCTCTCGTTGGAGTCTTTGCCGAACTTGAGGATGCCGTCCAGGAGCTCGTCGTCGACGTCGCTGAGGGAGCCGGTGGACATGGTGGAGCGGGTTCAGAACACGGGCTGGGCCGCGCGCGCCGACACGCTCCTGCTGCGCATAAGTCCGCGTGGAAGGAGCCGAAAGGAGGAGAGGTTTTATCTCTCCATGAGCAGGGAGGGCGGTTCCTCCTGCTGGGAGGAGGCGGTTTACATCACTGATTCATCTCTGGGGGTTTCATCAAAATGAGATTCGTGAGATATTTTGCTAACAGGCAGACACGTTGACTCCAATAGTGATCATTTGAAGTACAGCATGTTTTTGGGATGATTCTCAGCCACTGTGTTAGCTCAAAATATGAGAATTGACTGTGTTACAGACATTTTTGTGTTTCCTAACCTCAGTTAGCTGTGACGGCCATCTTGAATTGAGTTGGTTTTGTATCAGTGGTAAATTATCCTCTGAAAGTTTGATCCACATTTGTCTTGTGCATGAGATATTTGGTTGTGTTGGAGATCAGCTACTACCACACCAGTTTTTAGCTCAGTCTGTAAAACTGTCTGACTTTGAGCAAATTTTTGTGTCTGCTGAGTTTGATTAGCTGCAGCGGCCAGTTTGAGTCTATTCAACTCCAAATGCTAATCCCCTGGAGATGCACATCCTGTTGTTAATTCCTGAACGTTTCATTGAAATCCATCCGCTGGTTCATGAGATATTTTGCTAACAGACAGACACAGGCAACAAACATTACTCCCCACCTTTTAGCAGTGTAAATGTAGAAGTAAACGGAACATGTGTCCCAAATGTGTCTGTTCTAAAGTCACACGTCTTTATCTGCAGATTATGAATCCGTCCGGTTCTGTGTCTACAGAACTTTCAGCACATCCTGCCAGTTAACGGGGTGAAGTGCGAGGACAGGGGGGTGTCACTTCTCAAATGGCGAGCTGGCGCCTTGGTCCCCTCTGATGTAATGGATACCCAGCACCCAAAATCCCCTTGTTTGGCCTTCCACATCATTCCACACCGATGCTCTGCGCACGCCGGCCCACTCAGGGCCAAGTCCAAACAACCGGAGCTGCTTTAGGAGGAAATCCTCTCTTGTGTTTGGTTCTTGTTCACTTCCTTTCTTTGCTTTTTGAATATGAGCTATAAGTTGATGCTGATTTTTTTTTTGTCTTTCATTCTAGGATGCACAGATTGTGGTATATGTCTGCGTGAGTTTAGAGTTTTCGTCTGCACAGCTGAAGCGTGCGACGATAAGAAATGTGTCTCTAGAGAAGTGACCTTTACCTCCTTCGCTTCCGGTATCACAGTCCATCCAAACAGACGTTATCTGCCTTCAGTCAGAAACTCGCAATTAACCTTTTAGAACCTTTTTTTGCAAACCTCATGAATCCATATTTCATTCACAATAAAACATGGTAAACTTACAAAATGTTGATACTAATATAATGCACCATTTTAAGGAACAATACGATAATTGTGAGCTCGACTGCAGCAGCACATTAAAAAAAGACAAAACAAAAGGTGCTATAAAGGCTGTTACAAATTAGAAACAGTTGGAGGAGCATGTTGCAACAAATTATGTTAACTGGCAGCAGTTTAATGAGGATTAGGTGTAAAAAGAGCATTTTTGGAGAGCCTGAATCCTTCAGAAGTAAAGATGGGCAGAGGTTCACTAATCTGTGAAAAAAGCAGCATCTAAAAATAGTGGAATTGTTTGAGAATAAGAATTCACGTAGAAATTGGGAAGAATTTGAATATTCCATCTACATTCATTCATTCAGCCTTTATTTATAGAGGTTAATCCAATTGAGCCTCTGGGACTCATTTACAAAAGAGACCTGATTGATACAGTTCATAATATGGTCACAAGATTCTAATAATTAGGAGAAATCTCTGAGTTCAAATAAGATTGAAAGTTAAAATCAGATGTTATGATCTTCAGATCCAGGGTTCTGATTCTGTTCTGGATATCACTGCATGGACTCAGGAACACTTTCACATATTGTCTGTAAACACAGTCCACTGTGCCATCCACAAAAGCAGGTTAAAACTCTTATCGTGAAAAGAAAAACATTAATATGAACACCATCCAGAAACTATTTGGTCTATTTTGGGCCAAAGCTCATTCAAAATGGACCGAGGAAACTGTTCTGTGGTCCGACAAATAAAATCATGAAATTATTTTTGTCAAACGAACACCATTTCCTTGTAATGGAGATAAGACGGACTGTCCAGCCTGCTTCTCTGATGGTATGGGGTCATATTAGTGGCTATGGCAGCATACAAATCTGCAAAGGCTCCATCAATGCAGAGTCAGAGGTTTTATTGTCATTTCAGCTATGTACAAGTATTGAAACAAAACAGTGCTTCTCCAGGATCATGCTGCAACACAACATAAAGTGGAAAACAATACAACACAGTGCATCTGCAAACTTCACGATGGAAATCGAGCTGTGGTTTGCTGTACAGTCATGAGTTAGCAGAGTAAACAATAGCAGACTGAGCACACAGCCCTGGAGAGCTCCAGAGCTCAGTGTGGTGGTGCTGGAGGTGTTCTTTTCGATCTGGATGGACTGAGGTCAGGAAGTCCAGGATCCAGTTGCAGAGTCAATGCAGTCAAGTATATACTAGACAGGTTTTAGATCACCATGCTCTCATTTAGACCTTAGCTTTTTCATATCTTGCATATTTCATCAAAGTAATGCTAGAATGCATAAATGTGCCATTACAAACAGCATGGCTTTAGCAGAAGAGTCCAGGTGTTGAACTGACCTGCCTGCAGTCCAGGCCTCTCACCAACTGATAACATTTAACACAGGAGAAGGAGAAAAAACATTAAAAAATGGAGGCTGTTCAAATCAGAGAGACCACACTGACTTGTAATAAAACTCGCTGGATGAGTACGAGAGCACGGAGGAGAGGACAGAGAGGTAAGGGGAATAAAAGAAGAAAATAATAGACTTGGATTGGGGGGGATTAATCTTCTGGGTGGGCTGAAAATCAAAGCACTCAGAGGAAAAGTAATAATAGAGTCTGTTAGATTGATGATCGCCTCGGAGATACAAGAGAGAAACGAGGAGACGGAGGGAGAGGGAGCCAAACCAAAATAGCAAGTAAAAAAAAAAAGGGAAGTGACTTGTTTCCTTCTCTCCATGGTGATAAAACGTGATGCAATACGATCATATCTGTCTTTTGTGCTTGGACAAACTTAATTCTGTTGTAGTCTTCATAGCAAACAACAGTTCTGTGTTTGAATCTGTCAAAAGCTGTTCGGTGAAGTTTTTTTTTTTTTTTTTTTGTCCCACTCAGGGTGACAGGAGGCAACAGGTGGAGAGGAGTGGGGGGAGAAATAAAGAGGGGACCCTGGCAGTCATGGAAGGACATGTTGCTAATTAGCCGGTTTGGGGTCAAAGGTTAGGCTGGTTGTGTAATGTCACCACGAAGAGAAGAGTTCCAGATGTTGTCAGAGGAGGGCACCTGATGCCTCGGGTCGTTACCTTCATGAGCTAATAACACAAATGCATAAAAACAGGAGTTGTTCAGGGTCTTAAACAACGCTCCGTGGTTTGGTCTCAATATTTGTCTTTTTAACTCGTAGGATGTGTAAAGGCAGAGAAAAGTGATGATGTGCTTTTGAAAAAAAAAAGCAATCTTCTGAATGTTGCTCACATTTTTTTTATTCCCTTAGAGGAAAAAAAAAGAATCACTAACTTAAAGTTGATTTTTATGCTGATTTATCAGTAAGTTTGCCGCAGTGACAGCACATTATGCGCTGTATGCATTAAAAAACATTAATTTTCTCCATTTATTTAACAAGTTGGTACAGCACCACTGTTAAAATAGGTTTTACATCAGTTTTCATTCACAGAACAGGAAATATCTGTCATTCGACAACTCACCGCAGTATTTTTACTACGTTTGTTGGCTAATGCACTCACTGCATGTTCTGTGAGATACAGAGCAACATGTTAAAACAACATTTGCGTAAAACTGACCTGACTGAGCATCATACCAGAGCACCTGAACCAGAGAACTTGAATGTCCTCATTGATGCACTTTAGCGGCTGTAAACACAGCTTATGGCGTCCATATATAGCAATTATTCAAATGTAATATATTTATCTAGTTTCACTGCAAATCTGCTTTGCTGAGATCCAACAATAAGACAAAACTATTTTTCTTTGATTACCATTGTAACTATCCCAATCTGTTCAGTAAGTAACAAACGCTGATTATGGCACTTTTCTTTATAGCACAGCCAAAGCTGAGTTAATTCTCTGAATGTGATGGAAACAAACATCTCAAGTATTTGTTTGTACTGCACATCTAAGAAGAAGAAGTTTACTCTCATCTGCAGGCCAGTGGTCACTCTTTCAGGGAAGAAGTTGTGCACTTCCTTGAACGTTGGTTCAAGAGAGGAGAGCAGGAAACCATCTTTGTGAAGAGAACCTGCATTAAACGGGGCGGACGCCTCCGTGGTCCTCCTTTTGCACGTGAAAAACTAGTTTTGGCTGTCACCAGCAAGCTGATCCACTATGAGAAGGTGCTGCTTATAAGAGTGAGTTTGTTGCTGCTCCTCAGACTGAAGAAGTCCTTTGGATAAAAGACGAAAACATTTCAACAAAGAAGAATCCGCCCAGAGAACTTGACTCAACCTTAACTGGATTACTGAGCATTCATCAAGACACTAAGAAGAAGAAGAAGAGCAAGAACAAAAAACAAGAGCAACAAAAAGAAGAAGGAAAAACAAGAACAAGAAGAAGGACAAAAAGAACAAGAATAACAATGAGAACATACAAATACTACACAGAAAGACAAAGTTTGTTTTCTCAGTCATCCAGGTATATAACAACAAAAAAAGGTTGAATCATGTCATCTGGACTTCGTTTTTTTGTTAAAAAGAAACGTTTCGCCCCTCATCCAAGAGGCTTCGTCAGTCTGAGGCCTAGCCATCTGGTATTACCCAGAAGCCACCCTGACTCTTGTGTTTCAAGCCTGCCTCAGATACCCCTGAAGTCTGGCCTTTTCACTAATGGTTTCAAAAACACAAAGTTTGTTTTCTCAGTCATCCAGGTATATAACAACAAAAA